TGTACCCCCTAGGGGTCCTGGACCCCCTGTTTAAGACCTCTGATTAAGAGTTTACCATTAATTGTGTTGATAAAAAAATTATCTTACTGATGAAATGTCTGGTTGGAGAAAGTCATTTATTTCTGACTTTTACTTTTACATTTAAAAAGGGGATAATATTAGATGTTCCCCAAAAAATCCAATAAAAAGCTGATGCAATGATCATTTGCATGAAATTGCAGCGTAATGCATTATAATCCTGTGATGCAGCTGTGGTTCTCATGGTTATTCAGCAATCTAGTAACCTACAGCTATAACATTATAGATTTTAACACCAAGTCAAATGTTTACAAGTTTTAAATGAGGCCTTTTTTTTGCAAAAATAAGTTGATATCATCCTAAAATGATTACGTTAGTGAATGCAGATGAGTTGGATCCAAAAACCAGTTAGATTTTTACTGTCAGTCTGACTCCAATCTCAACACATCATATCTGTTGATGCAAACAATAGTTTATCATCATTGGCGTCTTTGCATTTACGAAAAGGTGGATGATTATCGAAAGGTTAGTTTGTTTCTCCTTTTAACCATTAAAACTTATGTTATTTGACAATAAACCTTTTTTTTTTAACCACAAGATGGGAAAAGCTCTAAAAAGGAACATTTATTACGAACCGGACATCCTGCTGCACCTTCCACACTGCAAAAAAAGTAGATCTAAATGAGTATTTTTGATTGAGGACTAAAGTGAGACACTCAGCCAATGGAACAACACATTTTACATTTAAAATAAGAAAAAAAAACAATTGCATTGTCTTATTTCAAGTACATATTATCTAATTATCTTATTTTAAGAGTAAAAATACTCATTCCATTGGCAAATCATCTTATTTACCTACTCAAATTAAGGGTAAATACACTTTATTCCATTTTTTTTTTTTATTTACTTCTAGATCGTTTTTTCAGTGCAGGTGATTGTTTTGTACCCGCTTTTACCGCCAATGCTCTATAACCTACCCTGATACACTGGAATGAAGTCA